TTTTTTTTTTAATGCCAAAAAGTGGTTGTCCGGGATCCCGGACAACCCCCCTACCGGACGGTTGGGGGAGACGTCCGGTCGAGACGTCCGACCATCGAACGACTGGTAACCTAGGTTTAAACTTTATTCGATTTTATGTTGCAAATTTAAATATTCTTTAATTAAATATTTAGTTTTTGCCAAATTAAAATTTATTGAATTAAACTCGTATTTTCCGATTATTTTTTTTTTATTAAATAATTAAATATTAAAATTTTCCAAATTCGAATTTTTCATGGGGGGGCAATTTTCTTTTTTTTTAATAGTGTCAAGTTTGAGGTCAGGGACAGAAAGGGGCTGTCTGTGCATTGCTTGCCTCCCTCCTTTCTTCCCACCCCTACCTTCTCTCTCCTCCTCTCGGTGCTGTAGACTTCAGTCTCCGGCCACGTCAGCATTGTGCCACCTCAGCAGGGCCACATCGGCAGCGTGCCACCTCAGCAGTGCCACATCAGCAGTGTGCCACCTCAGCAGTGCCACATCAGCAGTGTGCCATCTCAGCAGTGACACGCCAGCAGCAACTAAGCCAGGACTTCTAGATGCGCCGCAGTCAATGACTTGTTGAGAGCGGATCCAAGGAAACCAAGCCCGAACAGGGACCTAGGACACCCCGGATCCCGCGTAGACGACGCACAACCATGGCCGCCACCACTAACGCAAATTCACAAGCCAGCTCCGCAAGGCTGGCCACTCCCCCAATGCCAGTTCAACATGCAGATGAAACGCTACTAGCGTTTCTTGAATGTCTCCAACTATACTCGGAGACTATTGCAGTTGAACTTCGCAAATGGGAACAGGAAGAAGCTGCCCGCCAGCAGGCGATCCAACGACAACTGGCAGAGACCGAGGCAGCACATCAGCAGGCGATCCAACGACAGCTGGCAGAGGCCGAGGCAGAATGTTAGCAGGCTGCAGCAGAAGCTGCAGCAGTCGCATGGTTATAGCAGCAGCAGACGGAGGCAAGTCAGAATCAAGTTCGCTACCAAGCTACAATGGAGCTCGCCAACGAAGAAGCCACGTACCGGAGGGTACTTCAACAACAACACTTTCAAGCGAACAAAGAACAAGAGGAGCCGACCGAGGAAGAGAGAAGCAAGGAGGCAATAGCGGTACTGATGGAAAACCTGCTATACACGTGCAATTGGCAACAGCGCGAACTGCTGGCCATGCGACAGATCTTCATCCACTACGAAACAACTTTTCGGACACTGGAACAAAAGTTAGTCAACTTGCAGACCGCGAACAGCGACCAGCAGGCCATCAACGACCAGCTGAAGACCACTGTCATCACAGGGTTGGCATGACTGTCTGCAGTTGAGTCGACGGGCAGTGCAGTGGCAAACTGCAGCCCAGCTTTCGCCGCCCAAGCCAAGCAACTCGAGGAGCTGATCAACCACGTGGTAGCATCCCTTGGCGACATCAGCCAGTTTGCTGGAGCATCGATAGTCAGCAATCAGTTGCAGACGCTCAGCGACCACGTTCAACAACGAACGGTCGCCGTCGTCAAGGAATGGAAGATGTCGAACTTCAAAATTGAGAAGTTCTACGACTACCACAAGACTGATCCGTTGCAATGGTGGATGGCATTCAATGCAGAGGCGGATGTACATCACACCCCACCACTACGGCGGCTTGACACACTCTACCTCCAACTCATTGGAGGGGCACAAGCTTTCACGACTCACATGGCCGTCACGTTGGAATGTACCATCGCCACCCTCCACACCAAGATCACGTGGGAGGAATTCGAGAAGAAGTGGAAGACCCGGTTCATGGTCAATAACGACAAACGTCACGCCTTGAACAAGATCGTCCGCATGTTTCAAGGCCAACAACCATCATGGGAATGGCTGACGGAGTGGCAAAGACTCGTCGTCACCCCGGAGTTGAACCTGCCATTCAACGCAATCCGGGCCGAATTTTTCGCCTGCTCTTGCGATGCCTTGACAGCTGCCCTTGGCAGCGAATTCCAGTATGAGACCTTTGATGAGATGATCTCAAAGGCAAGGGAACTCATACAAGGTAACCGGCACGCGGCCAATGAGGCCCGACAACAGCCCGGTTACGTGGAGAAAGGCAAAGGTCAGCGGACGCCGCAAGTACCAGCAATCCAGCAAGGATCTAGTAAGGACCACGCAGCCGCTTCAACATCAAGTGACAGAGAGGCGGCGGCAGCGATACCACCGCAATGCTCAAGACCCCGAGGGGGAAAACATAAGGTGAAAACAGCGTCAACGGATGGAGAACGACATTCACCATGGACGAAGTTCGGTATCACCGAAGACGTGTTCAAGTTGAGGCAGAAATGGGGATGTTGTTTATGGTGCAACAACACCAAGCACATCACCAGTGCATGCCTCGACAAGGACAAAGAAAATGTCAAGCGTCCAAGCTTGGGAAAGTGAGCACCACTGGAAGTGCAGCGACATCACTTCCCAATCCACCAGACTCGACTGCCTTGCTAGCAGTCTCTCTCATGTCCGGGGTTGATGCGGTAGTTGCAAGTTCTCGGATTGACTTTGAGAACTATGTTGTCGAACTGGCCCGCTGTTGAACCAGCCTCTCCACGTGCAAGATCAAAGCACATGCGCGGTGTTTCCGTCGTCTGCCAACGAACCGGTCGCTTCGCCAGCCCTTCCATCGGAGGATCCGTCAACTTGAGCGAGTCTTGAGGAACTCGACATGTTGACGGTTGAGGACTTCCATTGGTTGCCTCTTCCATCCACTGGTTCTTTGCCAACATTGCATTGCAATGCCCTCATGGCACAATTGCGCGAATACTTGCACGCTGCAGTACCTCCTTCGTCGACGGACGGCGGAGTAGCGGTTGTTGACCTTCGTCGCTATCTTGCGAAGATCGACCGCGAGCACGCAACACAACGGTACATCGACATCGACACGCCAGTCCTCTACATCCGCATTCAGATCGGAAAGGCGACCTGCAGTGCCTTGATCGATTGTGGAGCGTCTCGCAATTACATCAGTCAAAACTTCATGGCACGTGTCGGGCTAGGCCCCCACGTTCGAAGGAAAAGTCAGCCTATGCACGACACGTTGGCCGATGGTCACACACAATAGTCAATCGACCGCCGCGTTGACTCCGTGCCCGTGTACTTTGCCCCGCTAGCATGCGAGGTTGTGTCATTTGGCATTTTGGACACTAAGTTCGACATGATCTTAGGCATGTCGTGGCTGCAAAGCGAAGACCATCCGGTGAACTTTTACCGACGCACCGTTCACGTTCATGATCGGCGTGGCGAACTAGTCCCGTGTACGGTGCCGCTTCCTCATTGTTCGATTGGTTGTCACGTGGTTTCCGCGGCGAGCATTCGTCAATCCATCAGCCGGCACGACATCGAGGAGATGGGCATGTGTTTTCTTCACGCCCTCTCACCCGGTGATCAGCCAAAGACGGACACATCGGACCCACGCATCATTGAGCTGTTGGACAACTATGAGGATGTCTTCCAAGCTCCTGCCAGAGTTGTACCGGATCGGCCCATACGCCACGGGATCACTCTCGAGGATGGCTCTGTACCTCTGCGCGGATGCATCTACCGAATGAGCGAAGAGGAGCTTCAAGTGCTTCGGGCACAACTAGATGACCTCTTGGCCAAGGGCTGGATTCGCCTTAGCTGTTCGCCATAAGGTGCTCCCGTTCTCTTCGTCCGAAAGAAGAACAAGGACCTTTGTTTGTGTATCGACTATTTAAAACTTAACGCACAAACGATTAAGAACGTCGGCCCTCTCCCTCGGATCGATGATCTTCTCGAGCGACTAGGGGGCGCCAAGTACTTCTCGAAGCTTGACCTAAAATCCGGATATCACCAGATCGAGATCCAGCCAAGAGATTGGTACAAAACCGCATTCAAGACGAGGTATGGGCACTTTGAGTGGATCGTCATGCCTTTCGGTCTCGCCAATGCCCCGGCTACTTTCCAAGCGGCTATGACGACGGAATTCCGCGACCTGCTCGACTGCACCGTATTTATTTACCTTGATCATATCTTGGTTTATAATCGGTCGCTGGACGAGCACCTTGAGCACCTTCGCACCGTTTTGGAGCGGCTCCGTATCGCCAAGTACAAGGCAAATCACGACAAGTGCGAGTTTGCCCAGCAAGCGCTGGAGTATTTGGGCCATTACGTCCGCTCGCGGACAAAGTACAAGCCATCCAAGATTGGCCAGACCTCACGTGTACTACCGATATTCGCTCCTTTCTTGGCTTAGCATCATACTACATGCGCTTCATCAAGAGCTTCCAACGGATCGCTGCACCATTGTCGCGACTTCAGTCCCCCTCGGTGCCCTTTGAGTTCAACGACGATGCCCGACACGCGTTCCATACGCTGAAGACGACTTTGCTTCAAGCTCCCATCCTAAGCATCTATGACCCGACCTTGCCTACCAAAGTAACTACGGATGCTTCTGGTTACGACATTGGCGCAGTTTTGGAACAACATGACGGCACAAACTGGCATCTGGTTTAGTATTTCAGCCAGAAGGTGTCGCCCATCAATTCTCTTGATGATGCCAGGAATAAGGAACTGCTAGCTTTTGTAATCATACTCAAGCGTTGGCGTCACTTTCTCCTCGGGCATCAACGATTCACGTGGGCAACGAACAACAATCCGTTGACTTATTACAAGACGCAAGACACGGTGAGCAGCACGATCGGTTGCTGGATGTATTTCATCGACCAGTTCGACTTCACCTCCAAGCATATTTTGGGCCCCTCGAACAAGGCAGCGGATGCTCTCTCGAGAAGACCCGATCTTTGCGCCTTGGTGCACTCCACATTCGACCTCGCTGAGGACCTGCAACAGCATTTCGTAAACAACTACAAGTCGGATCCGGGATTCTCCACGCTCTACGCGGACTTATCATCGGATCACCTGCCAACAAGCAATTATCGCATTGTTGACGGCTACTTGCTTCTCCATACTTGAGGCAAGGACTTGTTGTGTGTTCCCCAAAACCGCATCTTGCGCTCTCGCCTCCTTGGCGAATACCACGATTCGCGGCTGGCGGGCCCCGTTGGCATCACACGCACACTGGCACGACTCCGCCAACGATTTCACTGGTCGAACATCATCAGCGACGTCAACCGGTACATTCGGTCATGCGCAGTTTGCCATCGGAACAAAGGGCGCCATCAGCTCCCGTACGGCGAACTGAAACCATTGTCGATTCCTCGGGAACCAGGTCTCTCCATTGCTATGGATGTGCCCGGTCCTTTCCCCCGCGATCGCCTTGGCCATGATGGTATTCTCACGGTCGTCGACCGTTTGAGCAAGTACGCTCGATTTCTTCCATGCAAGTATCACGAGACGGCTCCCGAGCTCGCACGACTCTTGCACACGGGCTGGTTTTTCAGCCACGACGTTCCAAAAGACATCGTCAGCGACTGCGACACTCGTTTCATGTCGGCCTTTTGGACGACACTCATGGTGGAATCCGACAACAGCATGAAACCGAGTTCCGCACGGCATCCTCAAACGGCCCGACATCGAGTTCGCCTACAACACTTCGGTGCAACCGGCGATCGGCGTGACTCGTTTTGAGTTGCATCACGGTGGACAGAAAGGTTGTATCTTCGCAGACATTTTGCTTCCACGGGTTGTCGATATCGACGCCGCTTGCTCCCCCGCTTCTACACGGAAGTACAGGGAACTGCTGGCCAAAGCCCGCGCAAATATCCAAAAGCTCAGGTCCATATGCAACAGCAAGCAAATCGGCATCGCATCCCATGTCCAATCCGCCCGACGACCTTGTTTGGGTCACCTCCGAGGAATTCGCGCTCAAGCAGCACATCTCGCGCAAGCTCCTCCCGAAGTGGTTTGGTCCATGGAAGGTCACTTCAGCAGCTGGCGACGACCCCCCAGACCCCTCTTTCATAATCGAGATTACCCCACCCAATATTTCACGCTTCAAAGCTGGCGGTCTATACTCCAGCCTCGCCAGCGGATTTCCTGGGCAGACTGTCACACGACCCTCCATCAATGGATGGTCACCAGGAGGTCGACCGCGTCCTCTCTCATTGCAAGCACGACAACAAGCCGATGCAGTACAAAGTTACATTCAAGCAATGCGATCCCGACAACACACTCTGGATTTCACGAGCTGACCTGAAGTCGACAACACCCCTCATCTTCGTGCATTACGAAAAACAACGACTTGCTAAGGAAACTGCTCAACCCGCCCGCCCCGTACGGACATCGCATAGACAGCTTCACCCTCGCAAGTAGCTCGGTCTTCAAGGGGGGGAGTGTGTGGCATACTGGTACCACACGGCCCCCAGTTAGGGCCCGGTTCTGTAGTAGGCACAGTTTAGGCCTAGGTACCGGGTCACGACGGTACCAGCTAGGTCCAAGTAGGCCTAGGAGCCATCGGTTCAGTTTAGGGTCCGGTAGGCCTCGTTTAGACCCCACCAGACCCAACGACTAGTTGTTTAGGCCAGGTACCGGTCCATCGGTAGGCCCAGCCGGCGGCGCAGTTTTGGGCGCCACTTTTTAGATTCAAATCGGATCTGAGCCGCACTAGCGGTTAATGGAAGGCCAAAAATTCGAGGTTTTTCGCCGCGTCGTCAACGATCCAGACCCGAAGGCACTCAGTAGAACTGAGGCCGACCCAGCACTATATCAGCTGGGTACCAGCCTCAGTCGGTAGGTTAGTAGACAGGAGGTTAGTCTACGCGTTAGTCTTCAGGATTAGCGCAACGTTGCAGCGTTAGCAGGATTAGCGAAGCGCTTCAGGGTCATAAACACAAACATAAAAAAAACAATCACGCAAAAAAAAAAAACGAAAAATCAAACTCAAGAGCACCATAAATCCCTATTCGGAGTAGCTTTTGGAGTTCGCTTAAGTTTTTTTCGAGTCTGGTGTTTTTGCTAAGTTTTTTGTTACTGCTTCAAATACGGCGAAACTAAATACAGATATACTCTAAAGCACATATATAAGCGGTTAATGGAAGGCCAAAAATTCGGGGGGTTTCGCCGTGTCGCTACAAACAATGTTGTCGAAACTTTTGCGAACAAACTATGCAGGGTCATAAATACAAACATCAAAAAACCAATTACGCAAAAAAAAAAAACGAAAAATCAAACTGAAGAGCACTATAAATCCCTATTCGGAGTAGCTTTCAGAGTTCGCCAAAGTTTTTTTCGAGTCTAGTGTTTTTGCTAAGTTTTTTGTTACTGCTTCAAATACGGCGAAACTC